AATTGCAGAACTTAACATTGGAAGGTTTGTTTATTAAATCATTCAAAGAAAAGGACGTGGTTGTCTATGAATTAAGCGGTTTGAAACAAGGGCTGACTCGTTACAGTGCCTTGACATGCGGCACGACTCGGCGCCAAGTTGCAAAGTCGTGCCGCCAAGTTGCAACCAAAGTTCCCATGGAACCCGTCAAAGACAAGGAATCAGAGATGGGATTTTTCTGTTAATTTTTTTTGAAGTATGAGTTTTAATCGGAACAGATTTAGTTTAACAGAGTCTGAGTTTTAGTCAAAGTAGGTTTATGTTAACGGAAAATATAAGACAGATAGAGTAATTCAAATTTGAATTTTTAAAATTCATTTGAAAGTAACTTATTATATATATTTATATCAATAAATATCATATAAATATACTTATATTAAAAATATAATTAATAATTTATATCCCACTTCGCGCGATATTAATTAATTAATTAATTTTGTTAATAAAATATTTTTGAGAAAATATTATATAATTGTTATGATTTACTTTTTAATTTTTGTTTGAGATGGAAAGTTTATTAAAAGGTTCATGACTCCATTGGGAGACAGACAGAAGGTGGGGTACTGGAAATTTGCAGGCACTTTTTCTGTTTTTTGTATCGTCTTCTCAGTGAGAAAATGACCATCGGTTAAAAAGAGAGTCAAGTCATGTTTTACCCATAAATCTGTCAGATGTTGTAAATTGTCACGCATCTACATGCCAAATACAAATATACATATATATATATATATATATATACGTGATGTCCTATATGTTTATGCATTCTTCTTAGAGAATTTCAGTATTTAAAGTTTGATTCAGTTAAATAATAAAAAATATTCAAATTTTACGACTAAATCGTAATTTATTATGAATTTTAGATGAATCTTACTATAGTAAATTGCATAATTTAATTAATTTTAGTGATTTACTTTCATATAATAACAATTAATTACCATAAGATATCTAGGTAATTTATTTTTATTTAACTATAAAACCTAATATTTACAAAATTTAATTTAAAAATAAATAAATATATATTTATTTAGTTACCTATAATATTTGCATAATATTCGAAGAACCCACATGGGAGACATGGATGGATCCGTCTTCTGCTTCGGGCCCCGAAAGCCCAATGGGTTGGTTGATTATCGCTCGCATTAGGGTATAACTGGGCCATATTGGTTTATGGGCCCACATAGCATATTTTGTTTTTTATTTATGTTTTGTAGGGAATTAAATTGTTTTAACACCAATAAGGTATAACTTAAGCATCTATTGATTTCAACAATACAGTAATCTATAAGATTAATACTTGTCTTATTTTTCAAGTAGTCACAAATAAAATATAATGTATTAATTGATTTATTAATAATATAGTGATTTAATAATTGCAATTTTTTTTATTTTTTTAAAAAATCATAAATTCAAATTTTATTGAAATATAAATTAATTATTATGTAATTATATTATAAATTTAAAATAATTAATTTATAATATTTAATTGAGTATAAATAAGTACGGGATTCTATTAAATTTATGTTGTGACCAATCTAATGGAATGTTGTAACGAGATATTGAGTTTGATTCTGACACGCCGGGGAATGATGCATATCCAATTTGTCGTATAAAAAATAATTAATTAATTGTCACCAAACACGTCAATAATATTTTATTTAAAAAAACAAAAACACATGATCTCCAATTCCAGAACAGAATAAACCCAAAGCCCAAACAGGCCGAATTCTCCACGCTGAATGCCTTGTAGCTGAAGCATTTCAACGACGTCTCCTTATATTCGACAGCGCAGAAACCTAAGAGGGAAAGAAAAAAAAAGAAAGGGTTAGCAGAAGAAAAAACATAAAAAAGAAGGCACATGTTGGATTACGCCAATAATTATTTCGTCGTTATCGAGACCCGAGAACCCGAACCCGACAGATTTCTGCAATTACCAGTTATGATGGGACGACGAGAGCTCGATTTCTAGAGTTCGAGAGGAAATTCCCCCCAAACAAAGAGGGATTAGACCTGAATTGTTTATTCGTTTGTTGGATTTGGAATTCTAGGGGGGAGTTGTAATGGAAATTGAGGTCGCGAGTGCAAGTACTGATTTGGAGAGGAAGCGCAAGGAGCTGGAGAATGAGAGTTTTCGGGTGAAGAGAAGGACCTTGCAGGCTGTGCTGGAGCAGTGCCAGAAAGCTCTCGAGTTGCTCAGTCACAGCGAAGACGGCCTTGGAAGTGACGAGGATGAAGATCGGAATATAGGTCAAGGGGCACGCGAGAGGTCGTCATCGGCTGAGCGTGGAGATCAGGAGGCCGAGGAGGTAACTAATCTGTTTTGTTACTGATTTGGTGGGGAAATTTTGAAATCCAGCTTAGAATTACTTGCTTGCTGAGAAAATGAACAACTAGGAAAGAAAATTAAGTCTTAAATATGGCATGCTTTCTGTTTTGATACTAAAGCAAGGTTTTTTTCAGTGAATCCAATGAAGAGATTGGTTTCCGATGCTTTTCTTTTCAGAAACATCGCATGGCATCAAAGAGTTAATGTCCACAACTTTGTCGAATGTTTACCCTGTTAGGAGAGCATCCAGCACCTACATTTATATTCTAGCATTACAATTCATACGCACATCTAACTTGTTTCTGCTCTAAACTCTTCCTTACAAGGATGAAAGATTGGAAGGGTAATAGTCCTGCTATTTAATACAGCTCATACTGAGAACCCAGGTGATCAAATAAAGGAATCCAAAGTACAGAAAGAGCAAGTCTTGGTTCGAGCATTAGATCTTGAATCTTCTACGCTAAGTGATTAAATAAAGGAATACAAAGTACAAAAAGAGCAAAGTCTCGGTTTGAGCTTTAGACTTAAATCCTCTATACCATGCTAATTTAAGGATAGTTGGGTCAACAACCATCCAATAAGCTTAGAAGCCTAATCAGTACCTGGGTTTTTTTATTTTTCTGGCTTTTTCTTTGTGGTCATTCCTTTACTCAAATTGTATTCAGGCCGGTAGTGGGATGTGTAAATTGCTATTAAAAGCACCAAATGATCACTACCTGGAAATGGTAAGTCATAAGGGTGATATTTGTCTTAACTACTATAAAGGCTCAAACTGTTATTCAATAATATTTGCTAATATATACTTCATGAAGGACTTGCTTATTTGTGCAAAACTTTTCTATTCAGAAGAAATGTATGTGTCGGTTAGGACTAAGTTGTGTAGGTTGGGATGTCATAACAAAGAAAATGCATGTGTTATGTATTTGTTATACATGTATTATACACATCAGTAGTAAGTCTAGTGACTCATTCATTCACTTTAAGAGCCCAGAAAATTGTAACTCAGAATTTGCAGCTTATTCATTTTCTGCTTTAATGCAGCTATGTGATCTTCTAAAATCCAGAGTTGAATGTCCCGACTTCCTTGAAAAGCTAGAGTGTGCTCAGGCATCAGTCCCTCATGGCATCGCTGGTATGCATCCAGAGATGGTCAGCTTTAATGTCTTCAGCTGTTACATTAACAATTTTTTGCTAAAACATTCTTTTAGGATATGATTTTGAAATAATTTTTTATTTCTAGCTTGTTATGCTTCCTGGTTATTATCTGGCATCTTGAGATTCACACTTGAAAGAATCATATGCTTAGTTTTAGTTTAATTTTCTAATATTTTATGCTATATTGATTTTGCTTCCCACAAGCTGATGAATTGAAGTTCTTGCGTGGTGCCAGAAGAAGGTAGCTCCTGGGACATGGTTAGTGAAAATGATCTTTGGGAAGGTGAATGTACTGATCCAGATCAAGAAGATTATGTTCTTGTTAGGCAAGAAGATATAGTAGAGGGCATTGCATGTTTCATGGCTGCATACCTATTATCCCTTAAGCAGACAAAGGTATGCAAAGTCTGCCTCTTGATAACTTTGAAATTTCTCTAATCATGTTTTCTTCACTTGTTAGGGTTGAATTGATCATCCAGTAACCGCATGTTGATTCTATATATTGACTTTAATAGTTGAATACCAATTATTTTAGAATTGTCAACAATTGATCATCTATTGTGTTAGTGGTATTATTTTAGAATTGTCAACAATTGATCATCTGTTGTGTTAGTGGTATCTTTGTATTCTGCTAGCTACAATAAAAGATGTGTTTGGTTGCGTAGCGGTTCTTTAATCTTGAAGGATGCACGTAAAGATGTGTATGAGCTGGTAGTCAAGTAATGACTTGGTGGATAATACATCTACACTGTTTCACACAAGTTGTTTTTGCAGTGTATTTTAGAAATAAGGGCATGCATGTGTCGTTCTGGTTTGGTACAAAATAAGGCGGCAAAGAGGTTTTTTTTTATTTTTTTATTTGAGAGACCATTGGATATTATTGTGTCCTTGGTTACTCCATTTAAGAGTACATACTTGATAGGGCAAAAGCTCTACTTGAATTGCCTGAGCAAATAGATTGCTCTAGGTTTGTTTAACTGTCAATTATATGTTACAATTTTCTTGAGAATTCAGATTTCATGCATCTATTAGGTTTCTTGTATAGCTAACGATGTTCAAATTTATAAATGGTGTTTGAGTATTAATTTGTCTGAGAATATTGTATCATAGTACCATCCGAGTGAAAAGTATGAGTTACTTAACAAAATGCTTTATGTTTCCAGGATTTGACGCCTAATCAACTTCAGGATGGTGAGTTTGTTTAAGTTCATCCTAGTAATGCCTTTGCTTTCATTATGAGTTTTTCAACCCATGAACAAATGACCAAGTTTTACCAGTTAGCATTCAGTCATTTTGTTCCAAGTATATTTATCTGCATCTTCATTATTAAGCAAGTTAGCAGAAGGTTAATGATATTCACTGTTGACTTCGTCCAGCACTTAGCAAGACCTTCTCTATGAAGAAGAAGAAGGGAAAGCTTCGAAAAGCATGGGATGGAAGTAAAGTCATCTATAATGTAGCATCATGGGGAGCGACTGCCATTGGGTAGGGCGTATTTCTCAAGCTACTATTCTGTATTTCGAGAAATTTCCTTTCACTGATTTACTATTCTTATATCATTTTAAAAAGTATTTTGTTAAATTTTTTAACAGGATATACCAAAATCCTGTCATTCTGAGGGTTGCCTCGAAAGCCTTCTGGACTTCTTGTCAAGTGATATCAAAGCTTCTGTAAGCTCAGCATTCATTAACCTTTGTGTTTGTGCCTGTGATATGCCGGGGTGGTTCGGTTTCCTTAAGTTGTGTAATATAAATGGCATTCTTTTGGTGCTCTACTGCTGCTACAGATCCATTGATCTGTGGTATAACTGAATCTTGTAAATATCTCTTCTTCTTAAATCATTTCTGAGTGCGATTCAGATTCATTACATGACATCTTGCAATGCTTTTTTTTTTTTTTTTTGGGTTTAAATTTGGATCGCTTTTGTTTCATTCTTAGTAGTTCTTTTCCCCCCTTTTGCTAACTGTTAGTAGTTTAATTGTTTTTAATTTTTTTTTTTAATTTTCTTGGTTGAAATTATTAAGTTACGTAGAAATAGTAATGAACCAAATAGAACCTTAATGTTGCATCCGGATCAATCACCTTAGTTTTATAGTCAATTAAAATTTTATTTTTATATTTAAAAATTTAAATAGATAATTATTATGAATATTATCACTTTAATTTTTATTTTTTTATATATATATATTTATTTAAATTAAATATATAAATAGCAGTAAGCAATTAATTTTTTTAATTAGAATATGTTAAGATTCTTTCATTAACTAAATTTTTTTGTAAATAACTAAAAATAAAATTTTAGTTTTAAAATATATACATGTATATACAGTGTGGCAAATTTTTGATCTTCATATTTTTTTTTATATATATAATAGATTGCTTATTAACCATTGATTTGATACCTTTTTATTTCTGCAATTCATTTAAGTTATTTGCCACGACTGTTTCCTGTCTGCGTTAGCCGACACTAATTGCGTCTGGTATTCAATTTCTGGCTTTTTAATTTGCTGGATTTTCTTAAAATGCGTGGTGGTATAGAATTCCTACATATTTACGAAACCTATTCTATACTTTTGCTTCACACCCGGGAATTTGGTTTAATTGGAAACCCAATGAAGTCCATTTATTTAGTTAAATATTTCAATTAGATTTTTATTATTGTAATTTAAATTTCTTGCTGTAATTTTTAAATTTTTTTTATTTATACTAAAAACTAATACATATTTTTTTGAGGGAGTTGTACTGCTGTGAACGTATTAAGCAAATACTTTAATATTAACTGAATTGTATACTTCTATGTTTTATTTGTAAGTATCTGATTACGTAGAGTTTATCATTTTACTAATAATTAAAAATTTATAATATTTAATTCAGTGAGATCGAATATTTAATTTATTAATATATTAATAAAATTAAAATAATTAAATTAAATTAAATATCAATAAACTTATTATAACTATATTATCTTAACTATAATAATATCAGATTAAAAACCTAATTTAGTTTTTTTTCTTCTTAAGACAAGACACTCTACTTTAGTTCCAAAATGTGAATACCTAGTATATATTTGACTTCAAACCTGAATCTCTTCAAAGTTCAATATCCAGTTTCAGCAACATTTAGGCTGAAAGATACATTTAATTTTTGAAAATTTATTCAGTAATTCATACTTGCTTTAGTTATAAGATCATTTTAATAGTCACTAAAAATGATTAAAATTTGTCTGAGACAATTCTGACAGTATAAGAGATTCACATTCTCTCATATAAAATTTTCAAATAAATTTATAAATAAAATTCTGAGCTATTAGGAACAAAGAAGATAAGTAGATATATCAATTTTATATTTAGCAGATCGAAAATATAATAAATGAATCTCTGCTCTTACAAAATCTACTTATTTGAGGTAAGTAATAAACACATACTTCTCAGGAGACCAGATACGTGAACTAGAAAAGTAAGTTGATGCTGCGCTGACGTTGTTCCTCAGACAAAATTGGTAGCTCTGGCCAGTATTACTCTGTACAGAAGTCCTTCATTTTTGTAGCATGCCACCACCAGGTTTTAAAACGTCCAAGTTTAATTTTTTTCTTTTCCTTTTTTTTCCAGCAAACAGTTATCTCACTCTTTTATGTACAAGAATTTACCACGCCTAGTAATAGTATGTGTTGTCCTTGTGATTGGGACCATCCTTGCAGAGCATTGAACGGACTTCCATAATCGATCTAGGTGGCTCTACGTCTTTCTCTTGTAAGGCATTCCCGATAAGCTGTTGCATTTGTGACGCAAAAGTATCATCTAGAATCTGCAAGTTGACACTAAAGATTAATATGGATGATTAAAAGAGATGAGCAATGGAAGTTAAACTCTGATCTATCTATCTGCTATGGGTAATTTCAGCATCCAAGTAACAGGAATGACAATGGCAGCCCGACAAGAAAAAAAGGTCTGATGCAATAATTCTAAAAGACCAAAATGGATCGGATCTGACTTCACAATACTTTGAAGGAGATTGGTTATGCAAAGCTTCTCCTTTCTGAAAATGTTAGTAAGTTCTTTTAGTTTCAAACGCAAGGTAAAAAAAAGTCTAAAAAAATAATTTCATATTGACTTTTAAGCTTATAAAGTTTAAAGATTGATAAATTGTTTTTACCATCAAATATTCTCATGATTGATAAACTCACTTCCATAAGCTATAAGAAAATACCATAATTCAAATGGCTTTTGGATAGGTCAGTAGCAAAGAGTTACAAGGGTCTCCGCTGACACTGTACTTTGGTTTTCTATCAGTAGGTCCCTAGTATTTAATCTTATTACCTTTTTGTATCAGGTTCCTGGAGTTGATAAGCATTATCACCTTGAATGCAAGTACTTCAGAAAGACAACCAATTTTAATAACCTATATACTTTCAAGTAAGATGGCAATTGAAAAGGATGAAGCCCTATCAGCCTATAAGCTTTCACAGGATGTCCAAAAAAGCCTCAGAGTTTGGATATTAAACTATTTAGCTCGGTCATAGTTTTAGGAGCAAGATTTGAGCTTAAGAACTGAACTCATTTAAAATTGTAAAGCAGTTACTTACTGAAATTGCAATACGTGAACCTTTATACCAGGATCTGTTCTCTTTCCTGTTCTCCAGAAAACTGAGGACATCCTGTAAACAAAAAGCCGTCATGCAAGTAATATTAAACTATTAGCTTTGAGTTTGGTTCAAAGTTAATTTTTTATAAAATAAGAATATGAATACAATACAAATAAGACATAATTTTGCATAAAAATAATATTTCAATTCCAAGTTAATTCCATATTCAATTCAAATTATAGGTACTTTTGTGCTTCCTCACTTGCCAGGTGATAATAAAAATCAATTGTTTTTATGAGAATATGATATATTCAAACCAAAAACAATATTACTGTCAACTCAATGCAAACTTTTTATCGGAACATTGAAACTTAACTACCTGTCCCATTCGATCCCAGTAACCTCGGCAGATTGCTATAAAGACATGAGTCTCACACACAGTGTGAAGGTGACTCATTGTATTTGTTAGCTGATCTTTGAGTGCTTGCATCCTACCCCGTATATCAGATTCCCCTATACTTTCTTTTGAATCTTGAAGAATCTTCTTCAACTTTGTTGAGCTCTGTAACTTAGTCTGAAGCAAGATGAAGAAGCACCCAATCAGCGAAAGAGTTATATTGAAACCCTAGCAAAACTAAAGCTGATACAGCATTTTGTTGGGTTTAATGCACACAGGTAAAGAACCAGAGGTTTAATTCTATACAAAAATACATTGAACTTGTAGTTGGTTGTGTGGGGAAAATTAAAAAAGGACCAATAAGGGTACTGATCAAGAAAATTGGAATAAACAATGCTTGAAATGATGAATCAGCAAGCCAGCTAAGACATGAAATGTAGGGAATTCACAATGGCTGCTCTCTTAAATTCAAGTTCATTTGCACTCCGATACTTTCTTCAAGTGTACATTTATCATGCAGTCAATCCTTTGCTTCCAACAAGAATTCACAAGAAACTGCCATCATCTGAAAGGGATTATTTGCATGAAGGGAGTCCTTTATTTTAGAGGTTTTTATTTTAACTAACGTTAATCAAATGTTAGCCTAGTGAAAGCAAATTAAAGGCACAAAATTTTGCTTCTAAAATCAAACTCACATTTTCCACAAGTTTCTCAATAACAGCTTGCAGGTAATTTCTGAACTTGGCTCTGAGCATTACTGTTACTTCACTGAGACGCTCTCCAGGGACAGGGTTTCTTCCATCAGGAATGCAAGAACCCCAGGATTTGAACCGTGCTTCTATCTTGGGACGCAAGACATCAAGCATCCTCTTCAAAGAATTTAATAGAATTCCCAGCTGAAGAAAAAATAAATAATTCTCAGCCAGAAAAATATTCAAAATGAACTGGAAGAAAAAAGAATTAGGCAAGTGATGGCCCACCTCATCAGGGACTGCATAGGAGGACACAGATCGTTTAGTGAGCTTTTGGACATATTTCAATCCAAATTTCTTTGGTGCCAAATTTTCCTTCAATGGTGACAGGACATCTGCATATTGTTTATCCAGAGCTTCCACGATTGCTTTTTCCACATCTGCTATAGCCTTTGTGTACAAAAACAGCCAAAATGAAATCAAATAATTTCAATAACTCTGTCCTCCATATTAGTAAAGATAGTAAAGAAAACTAGTTACCCTATGGTCATTTTTATATTGCCAAAAAAAGCTCACATTTTACTTCCATTTGCTCTTTTTTCAATCATCAACTTTGCAAATAAGAAACAAAGATGGTTCATTTGGACGTACGTTTTCGAGCACAAATATGTATTCTGGCCATCTGCAAATGATTACTTCATAGTTGTTCAAGGTCTCTCTCAGTCGGTCATACATTTCATCAACAAAAGGAGTTGTAGAATGTTGAGTCCGAACCCCTGACCATTTTACCTGCAAGCAGATAAGTTGTAGATAAGTTTAAAACAACAACATCTTGAGTTCCTTTAATGTGATCCTGAAAATACCGAAAAAAGAAATCCCTCTGTGCATATTGGTAGTATCAGTATCAATATCAATAATTTGTAACTATGTTGAGTCATTCTTCCAGAAGTTAAAAGCAGCTCAATAAGATTTCCATCTCTTTATCAACAAAACTTCAGACTGCAGAATCTGTGAGTTATTTCTTTTCCTTTGAACTTTTAATTTAAGAGACCAATGGGAAGGCATGCAATTGAAAAGATTGTAGTTGCTTTAAGACTACCCTATAAAAGCTGTTGTTGCTTAGAAAACATACCTTATCTAATTTACATGACTCAAGCAAAGAAATGCGTTTATCTTGAATCCATAGCATGATATACAAATGGAACAACTCTTTTGCATCAACACCACCTTTGATAGGACTGGAAATGAATCACCAAATCAGTTGACTCAATTCAAGATCCAAACAACTAACAGAATCACCAGAAGCATGTACCTAATTTTCCAGTTGGCAACTTCCCTCTGAAAATCTGATGTTGCAATAATGAGTTCTACCACAGGAGGGGAAGGACCAGATGGTGGGCATGCAAGAAGGAAAGCGCGCAATCTGCTGCAAAGCTCCGTGCTATATATGGAAGCAGACAAATTTGGGAGGTCTAAAAAACTGCATGAAAAATAAACTCAATAAATGCTTGTACATCATGGATCAGATAATCAATCCAACATGAAAGAAATGGCTAGTGCAGTAGAATCTGATATCATGAAATCATCATGTCATATCCAACATTTGCCAATGAGCTTAGTGGAAAATATCAATGACGTTCTTTAGAGATTGAAACTACGGGAAAACAAAAACACAGATTTTTGTTAGGAGGGAGGAAAAAGATACAAATTAAAGGAGGATAAGCTATCCTCCAAAAAAAGAAAGAAACAAAGTGAAAGCACAACTGATACGTGGCAGCAATCAGATTCCTTTGTAAAGTGAACAAAGAAATTCCCTTTGAGAAACCATGGGGTTTAGCCCAAACAGAAGCCAAAAACACCATCCTGAATGTCATCAAAGGACCAAGACCTTTCTTAATCTCTTTGCATTATCTCCAACCAAATCAGAACTTAACAAAACAGTGCTTCTACTACGCATAAGTAGAGCTGAAATTATCTTGAATCCTTGGTACTTCCAGTATCCTTGGCCTTTGAAGCTAGGGTATTAAACTATTCTTCAGATATTTAGCTTAAGCGGAAATGCATATATTGTCTGTCCGTTGAAACTTAAACCAACCAAATGATTCATATTTTGGAACGCTATAAATTGAAAAGAAAAGAGGGCTGCCGAGTCCAATATTATTAAGGAGAACAAGTTGGAAATTTACAGCCAAGAAAGACCCACACCTATACATTCTAAATTCATGTATCCTCTTTGTGACACTAACGGTAGTCTGCATTGTCAATCTCCTAAAATTCCATGGTAAATCCTGTATTAAGATTTTTCATTCAAGGCCTACATCATATGCCTTTCTTCAGGTCACATTTGATTTCAATAACATAATCAGTGATTTCTATCATCACTCTCCTAAAATCTACATATGCATCCTAAAACTGATACCTGATTTCATGACATGTATTGGTAGTTAAATCATCAGTCTCCAGCTTTACATATGAATGAACTGCTTTGCATGAAAGTGGCATCAAAGCTAAAAGATAGGTGCTTAAGTTGACAACTTTCTCGTCATAATCTCAAATCACATTACAATTGGAAAGAAATTCAATTTTAACAAAGTTCTTAGACATCAAATGCCATCATGAACTGAAAAGGTACCTGGGAAGTATATCTTTGTTATGGATTTCAATGTCAGTCAAAATCTCATTTTTGATATTTGTGCAAAGGGCAGTCATTTTCTGGTAAGCAGTGGATACAGCAACAGGATCCAAGAAATTAGGCTCATTGTTATTGGCAACATATTCATCTGTCTCAGCCAAATGCCGCCTTGATCTTTTTTTGGCTGCAGCCTGAGGTTACATTACTGTTAGGAAAATATGGGTTGCAATGAAAGCAACAAATGGAGATATGTAATATCCAGAACCTGAAAATAATGGGTCAGAGCAGTTTGCGACTCAGGAGACAATATGTCATGAAGGAGAGTATACAGTTTAACAGCAGGAGCTAATGCTGGTGCTGCAACTCCAGTTGCAGGCTTGAAAATTTCCATAATGCCAGTGAACGATGATTCATCAAGTGACTTATAGTTCTCAAAAACTAGAGCAAGAATCTGTTCAATCTGATCTTTGATTTCTCCAAGTATTCGATTCTGTTGAATAAGCCAAAATGTACACATGTATGTTGTGTCAGAAAAATTGGGAGAAGAAATGAAATAAATTTAAAGAATTTCTATTTTAAAGTAAAAATTTAAGAACCAGAAGAAATAAAAGTTACTGAAAGGATATGTTAATATAGATAACAATAACTTTTTTTGGAAATAAAATATTGATAACAATAATAATGATAATATTTTAAATATTTTTTAATTATTTTATATTTTAAATATAATTTAAAAAATATTTATAAGACGGTAAAAATGACATTTTTTAGCACCTCATACATGTGATATGAATTCTGATGGTTTATGAAAATCATATTTGTACTTTAGGTAAATTGGCTAAGTGCCTATGATACAACATTCTCAAGGTAGCTAACTCCAAATACCATAAATAATAAGCACAAGGATAAAATTCTGCACAAAAAAAACCTGATAATTTGAAATTTACCTCTTGATGACTCAATGTACTTTTGCTGTCACCTTTAATAATTACAGGCATTAAGAAGTCATATACCAAAGTGAGGCAGTCAGCCGTAGGTGTGGCGACGTCCATTACATAGGACAGGTACCTGGAAAGAACATTCATCAGAAAAACACAAATCCGGTACTTTAATAGTTAGACAGTGATCTGACCAGGTAAGAATTATTAAAACCCTTAAAAACTGCCGACACTCTTGAGTAGCTGACAAGAAAAGAAATCTAATTACCGTAGCTTGGTGTACACATCAGAAACCCCATAGTACGAGGCAAATTCTGTTAAAAGCCATTTCCACGAGCCATGTAACAGTAAGTTCCTTTGTTGAAAACGTTGAATCTTCATAGCAACCTCTAGAACCAAGTCATATGCAACTGTTTCTGCCACAGAACCACACTAGGCCAAAAAGAAGCTCTTAATATCATAAAGCCTCCAAAAACTATGATATGATTTTTTTTTAAAACAAGACTAAGCCATGATATGCAGTTCATGATATTCATGTCATGAATACGAATAATCAATCATCAAAGATTAAAACTGGATTCAAACTATAGAACCTCTGTTGAATAGAGATAATCAATTGTCACAGAGTGAGACCAAATTAAAACTGTAGAACATTATCCTTTTGCAGAAGTAGTTGTTTGCCAAAAATTGCAATATTTTAATGATGCACTTGAGCTCATGCACACACACATCTGATTTTTGGAGCTAGGTTTTCTTCTTAATTTGAATTCAAGCTCTTACAAGTACAAATCTACATGTGTATATCTAAGCATGCATTCCTTTGCTATAAACTGACATAGTTATCAAGAAATACATATATGGGCCTCTTAATTCTGTCAAACTACGTGAACTTCTATTGTCACAGACCAACTCAGACCTTGCTAAATTGAAAGAGAAGCAAGATGGTTTCTGATCCATTCAAAATATATTCACTTATCAAAGATAAGTGAATAATCAATCATCAAAGATTAAAACTGGATTCAAACTATAGAACCTCTGTTGAATAGAGATAATCAATTGTCACAGAGTGAGACCAAATTAAAACTGTAGAACATTATCCTTTTGCAGAAGTAGTTGTTTGCCAAAAATTGCAATATTTTAATGATGCACTTGAGCTCATGCACACACACATCTGATTTTTGGAGCTAGGTTTTCTTCTTAATTTGAATTCAAGCTCTTACAAGTACAAATCTACATGTGTATATCTAAGCATGCATTCCTTTGCTATAAACTGACATAGTTATCAAGAAATACATATATGGGCCTCTTAATTCTGTCAAACTACGTGAACTTCTATTGTCACAGACCAACTCAGACCTTGCTAAATTGAAAGAGAAGCAAGATGGTTTCTGATCCATTCAAAATATATTCACTTCAAATCGACTAGAAGTCAACAAATTGTAGAAGCTTCTTTTGGACATGAGCCAACAGGCTACAAGAATAAAAAGCAACTGACCTTTAGTTGATTATTATCCTCAGAACTTGTTGAATAGTTTATGTAGAGCTGCAGCTTGCCCACAAGTTCATGCTCTGGCTCACGATAAATGGACCACCATCGAAGCTTATCAGCCTGCATCGAACTTATGTGAGAGTTTTTGACAAAACTATTAAAATAAGCAATATCAAGCAAGTTCTACCAGAAATTTTTACCGGGTCTTCGGAAATGGTAGCCACTTGAGCAAGAACACGGCCAAAATGCTTCCCCTTTGAATCCAGGACTTCAACAATCAGATCATCTCCTAAATTATCAGGAAAGCTGAAAGATTTTTTTTAAGACCTCTCCATTGAAAACTTAGATAATAAGTTAATTAACAAAAGAAGTGGAAATAGAAAAGAAGCACATACAAGACATGGCTTTCACTAGAACCAGGCTGCATCCTTATGGCATCCTCTTCAGCAGAACTTTTCAGTCTTAACAAACAAGAATATGTCTCTGAAAAGAAACATAATAAGAATTTAAGAACAAAAGGAAAAGATGCTGCTGAGCAAAACAAGAAGAGAAGAAAGCAAAAGAAAGTACTACGCAATTCTATGACAGGAAACATCCAGCTATGAAATAAATTGTACCTTTTTTTCAAATGAATCTAACAAATAACACCTAGCAAATAGTATTACCATCTATAGGCTACATATCATTGCTCCAAAGATTTAATAAATGCAACCACCTCATCCACCTATGCATTTGCAAATACCCAAACAAGTGGAACCCCAAAACATATTTTTCAGACAGAATGAAGGAGGCCCAGCAAATAATAATATATGATCAGATATACGATGATGCTATCCACTGTGGTTAGCATAGCTCATCAAAGTCCAATTCTGCAGCTGATTAAAATAAGATGAAATACTTTTTGTAAATCATACTCTGTAAATACCTCCCTACCCAGATCTAGAATTCCCAACTTGGCATACCTTGCACAACATCATATGATGTTGAACTATTGCGTAGACTTGTCACGCCAATTTTGAGAAGCCCTGAAACTTGTTTAATGTAATGAGTGCTTGCATGCACATATGCAAAGCCTTGACGTGAAAAGGAAGCTTTTGCAGGTATACGGGGTGGAGCACGAATTTTTCGCAGAGCTTGCCATCTATAAGATAGTGCCGACTGCAAATTGGATAGGTGATGCTGGATAGCTTCAACCTTAATCACTGGTCTTAAGGATAACATGCTGCAGCCAGTAGGTGGATCCAGGGTTGTCTTCACACGTTTTACTGCATAATCACCAAGGTCTTAGTCTAAGGCAGCACACAAAAAGTACTTGGAAAAAGAAGATGTCACATACAGGATTAAGAGCTACCTTGAACTTTCATCTTTCCAACAATTTTCTTAGGTTTTGTGGCAACACCTTCGTTAGCAACCTCTGAAGAGCGTTTAGCCATTAGTTCTTCCTCCGATTGCAGTAGGACTTGCTGTAACCTATAGTTCAATAATAAAATTTTGGGGAGAGTAGGCAAAAAAGTAGTAGAAAATAAGCATCAGGATACTGATACTGTTATATAGAGTAGCATGTGAATAGTTCCAGAGAAAACATGCTTAAAGAAAGAAGCCAAGAAGAAACTTCTAAATTTTTCTTTTGAAAATGGAAAGCTGACATCTCAACACTTAGGACAGTAGAGTCATCAAAACTCCCAACTTCACTGGCTTTCCACAGACTTCCACCATTTTAGCTTCCACTACAAAGATGGATAGGACAAAAAACAAAATGCATATTTTGGTCCAATTAACTCCGTGTTTCAAATTCTTGACCACAACATAGATATTCTCATTGTGTTTGAGGTTGAAAAAAAAAAGAGCATAAAATGATACGTACTATAAGTGATTTAAACCACCTAGGTGCTAAATAGTAAGTGATTTAAACCACCTAGGTGCTAAATAGTAAGCAATTACATGTTTGGATAAAGATGTTTATTGCAAAATAAATATTTTTCATATTTTGATAAAAAGTGATGACCAAACATAAATAGATAACGGACATATTTTAAAAAAGTAAACACTTTATGCGCATATACAATAGTTAGTGGAGAGGTGCTTTTTTTTCTCCATTTAAATTTTATTATAAGTACATAGTGATTAAATTGCTATTTGCTCAAAAAAAAGAACTTGCTATTTGATTACCAAACGGGTAGAATGGGGTGCTTATTAGTTGCTTTCAAGCAAAACCAAATAATTAATGAATAGTGGGAAAACCGAAGATTATTATATATTAAAAAGAAGAAAATTTTCCAACTTTATATGGAACCAGATGCATAAAATTTACCTCTTCACTATTCTATAGAATGGTTAAATTTTTTGAAAAGTTTTAACAACCGATTCCTATTCTCTAGTTGGCAAATATTATGGTTCGTTACTGCCAGAATTTTTTTGCTTACTATTTTATTCAGTTACTCCCACTTGGAGTTGCACGACATTAACATGTAACTGAATATTATACAGCCTTTCTTATATTGCCTCTGCAACTTTATCTCTACTTGCCTGGCATCACGAACCAGTGCAAATAACTTTAGAATGGCATAACTAGAAAAGGAAGAGATCATAATTACCCAAATGCTTCACGTAATAAAGCACATTCATTTTCCAAAAACATAGGGGCTTCCATGCAACTCCTAGCCCAAGCATGAAGGCAAAGTCGAACACACGCATCATAGGCGATCACAGCATGCCAAGGCCCAAGAGCACTGAATTTGACATGCAAACAGAGCAGACATAATGAAAATGAGTGCCCAATAATAAACATCTAGGATAGATTATAAGAAACATCTACAGTTACGTGCTAGTCTTAGATACCTTGCATGAAATGTTGGGATGCGAGCTGGATGTGAACCTGAAGATGCCCCAGCTTCAGCACCAGTACTAGTTCTGATACAGAATATAGATGCAATGAGCTTGAAAAATTCCCAATCATTGAGTCTAAAAAGGCAGTTAGGAACACAAAATAGTAGGTCTTGTAACTTAATTGAGTTGCTGTGCAGTTTTTGCCACATAGAATCAACAAAGTATATATACCTAACAAACTGACCAGAATTTCTGTTCCCAGCATTATCTTCTACCTTAACATCAGGAGTTGGTTTCTGCGTATTCACATTCACTTTGGTTGCTATGCTCTGTGAGTCCTGGATAACCGTTGTATTACGCACTCCAGATATTGGAATTTGATCAGTTCCTTGTCTAATTTCATGAACAGAACCAGAAAATGGAGGTGCACTTGGAACACCATCATCTTCGTTTTCATCGTCAGAAGAAAACTTTTCACTCTGGAGGTTTCTGAACTGCTGATCCTGCAATAAAGACTGATTCAGAAAACCTTAACATAAAATTAAAATTGACAGGATCCATCAGAGATTTTATGGAAGTAGATACTTAAGCATCAAGGAGATGCATTAGACAAAATGGTTGTCACATCATTGAAACAACTCCTGTGCCTATGAACCACGATAATAAAAACAAAAGGGGTGGAGATAGATAAATTTATGAGAAATGATTTTGAAATCTCTTCATCCCTATACCCTAATTTGACAACCTAGAACCTAAAATATGTGCTCTCAAATGCAATTTATCAGATGGAATAATTAATCATGCACTAGGAAATATTTCAAGGACTTATTGTATGAACCTCCAAAATAGGAAATCAAAATAAGAAATAATTAAATATGAAACCAATGCAACACAATGAGCCGAGAGCAAAACACAACTAACTTCACAATCAAACATGGAAATAATTCAAGTAACATCTGAATTGAACATAAACCTTCTCAGCAGCTCTATCCACAGTGACTCGCGAAGGCACACTTGAAGCATATCCCTCTGAATTATATGCTCTGCTACGAGGCACAGCACCATTGATGCTACCAATTTGTGTCGTAGAAAACTCAGAGCTAGCAGCCGAATCCGATGATTCATCCTCTGTGTAACCACTGAGCCTGGCTTGGTACCTCCCGTTTGCCCGGCCCAACCTCTCCGCCAAATGCCCTTGAGCCCCAACAATCGTTTCCATTGACGAACTAACATCGGAATACGTATAGTCACTGGCATAACGTGGGTGTCTTTGTGCCGGATTTCCATATCTATGAGCTGCACCAGTAGGAACTCTATCATCTTGCGGCGAAGAGTCAAGAGAATGTCTTCTGCCGTAGACCTCCTCTTCGGAATCAGTGGACATGTCATTGTCAGAAGCAGACGCACTGTCGTAGCCATCAATCGGCACAGTTGTAGACACCGGGATCACGTTGGACGGTAAGTGTCCGCTTCTGAATTTTGATGTTGGGGGTAACCCGAACCCTCGGGTACCACTTCGGATATTGGAAATGGGATCAATCCGGGATCTTACATTTGAACTTGAACGCGAAACCTCCTCCTGTTTATCATTGGTTAAGAAATTTTTTTTTTTAAAAAAAAAAGAATAAAAAAAGAAGGGAAGAATTATTTGATTTCACTATTATATTCTCTACTTGGATTTTGAAATCCGAACAATGCAAGCAAAGATCTCAACCTATATCCAACATCCTAATCCGCCATCAACAAGAGAAAATAACTGAAAACGGGAAAAGGAGAAACGAGAAAAGAGATTGGAATGGTGAAGTTCACCTCCCAGCGAACGGCATTATTGCCGAGTCCTTGAGTGAACATGACTGCTAAACCCACTCCTTCACCTGCGCACCATATTCAAACCTCAGTAACTCCTCCACGCTTAAGAGCGTTAGAAGAGAAAAAAAATGATGAAAATAGAAGCTCAGATAAAAAAACAGCAGAACACAATAACCAATGAAGAGCAACCGCAACCCTCACTGACAAGAACTCAAAGATTTCCACAGTTGACCGACCTTGTTAGAGTATTGAGTGAACTTTAAACACAGTAAGAGAGAGAGATTCAGAGAAAAAATCAACCTAGAACACTTGCAACAACAAGTACGAGATTTGACAAGGAAAGCTTTTGCTTCTCTCAAAAGTTTCTTGGCTCAGTTTCAGCTCAAGCAATTCCAGTGTGTCCCTGCAGACTCTTATGAATTTCTTTTTGTTCAACTTTCTATTTTTCTCAAAACGACGACGTACGATAAATAAAACCATTACTGCGTCGTCGTTTGGGATCCCTGGTTTTACTGAGAGAATCCTTAAAGAGTGCGCACGTATAAAAGTGGGGGGTGGAGGAGAAAAAGTAACGGATGAGAGTGAGAAATGACGTGGCAAAGTGGAACTCCGTTTTCTTCTGGGCTTTTACTTAAATAGTCGACCGTTGTAGGTGGGGGACCCATTTACTCTTAATTTAATTTCCCGCTAATTACAATGAATTTAATTAATTAATTACAATAACATCGTTAATGTGAGAAAAATAGAAGGATTCACATGGTTTGGTGGGTCCCACACACGCAACGTGCCCATACCATTGCGGCTTTTTCTTGTCTGCTTTTTCGCTGAACTAAATTTCCCTGGCTGGGTTTTAAATTTAACGGCTGTGATTGAATTGGGATGATAGAGATGATTGTTAATTTGTTAAGTACTGCTATTCATTGACATTTTCGGCTGAAGTGCGGCCGAGAAAGTCGGCATTTAAATAACTCATGTAAACTTTACAAGGTGAAATCTAGATTTTTGAATTGATTAAAATATATATTTATATCTCCAAGTTTGTTTGGGGAAGAGACTTTTAATTTGAAATTTTTTGAAAAAGTGCTACTGTTCCAGAGAGGGGTTTTTCTTGTTTTCTTCATTTTAATTTTTTAAAATGTCTTTTTGTTTTTTTTCAGGTTGTGAATGTTTGGCACTAGGGCTAAAGCCACGGGACATGCATGTCCCAGTTGATGATGAATGAGTGACCCACCCGTCAGATTTCCATTTCACAATCCAATGTATGACCCACTCGGAATCTCAAAAGGGTGAAGTATCTCTACTTGTTATCACCATCACAACAATAAACCACTAACAACTAAAATTGTTAAGCCTAAATAAGGTCTGCCTTTTTTGTGTTAAAAAGATTTAAGTTAAATTTTTTTAACTCCCCATGATTATCTTACAACTAATGAAATATAATTACTAAAGAATATTTTTCTTACCTAAAAACTTAATAGATTCACTCAAATTTAATCCAAATTAATTACTAAAACTCTAAGAATACAGAAATAAAGTCTGATTTGGAAGCACAAATGGGTCAAGATGATATCTCATTTGAAATGCATGAATTCAAAATCTTCAGATACTGCTGCCTTCTATTAGTAAAATATTTGATGTTTTTTCTTTTCAGCGGAATAAAAAAGGCCTCTATAGTTTGGTAAAAATCTGTCACTTCCAAAATTAGGAGATTCACTAGTATGAAAATATATGCAACTGAAATGTTTTGAAGTTAATAAAAATCTATGCACTCAACAAAAATGACAAATAATCCAGCCAAGGCGGCATCATGGCCCGGGAGCTGAAGTCTTCAACAACCGGGACAACCCACCAAGAGCAATAAGCTCTTCTACCTACCCAACAGTGATTGTTAGACGTGAACGGAAGAGAAGTATGATACGTGTGAGGACCGACCCCACTGGAATTACAGGGCAGCAACCGTACCAACCACAAGAACTCTTGTCTCTTGCTTGTGCAGAAACTTGAAAATGTAAGACCAAAATGAGCAAGGGTTCTGCAGTTAGATTCTCTTCGTTGCAGGGCTAAAAGCCTAAAAGCTGTTCAGGATACCTTTTTGACTTTTTTTATCGTGCCCAGAAGAAGCAATCACATGATTTTTGTTCCTTTCTCACCAAGACAATATATAATTCGAATTCAATAGTTTTTGGTACACAACAGAAAGAATTGAAGATATATTATTCTGATAATGTTAACTTCAGCTCATTTCAAATTACCGGGCAACAATGCAACTTTATTGCTAAATATAACTGGCAACGACAAAAGGAGAGGGAAAAACGAGCAAAGAAAAAAAAGAAACCTGGTTTGCTGGAGCTCTTTCCTGTAACAAAAACAACTATGCATCAAATAGAAAATGTTAATACAGTTCATCTACATTACACTCCCCGAGAAAAACTTTGACGCTGCGTGGTGATCCACAACTGCCTTCGGCAATAAGGGCTCTGTCATTTGCAGCCATATGTGCAATTATCTTGTAAATCATTTCAATCTGCAGGGATGTACTAAAGAAGGTTAGCAAAAAAGTTCATTTTTGAAATGGTTTCAAACCGTAGACAGCATACGTACATCTTCAGGAGCATGGCAACGCTCTGCTATTTCATCAAGCGTCAAGGGTTCAACAGGTTCTTTACAGCTGAGCAAGAAAAAACATTAGTGGGAATAATCAGATGAAGCCAAATATTCAAGAATTCAACGAAGAAAAAGGAACACCAAAGAACAGTAAGAATCAGATAGAAATAGCATGGAATTTGCAGTCAGTTAAGTCTCATAACATTATCTCAAAAATCAAGTAAGTAAATCTCACCTCTGAGAACTATTGGTGTCAAATGAAACAGTAAGGCCCACAGAATAATATAGCTCATATTTTCAGATTAAAGGCAAAGGATGTCTATGAGAATTTCAATTCTCAATCAAGGCCATAGATTCTATATAATTAGATACAACTGGCCAGAGTGTCAAAAAAAAAGATTAGTGAGTTTCACACCCAAGAAAAGAATTCCCTTGGATTCAGTAACAAGATAGTCGGGTTTCCAGACATTGAAAATATATTTATTGAGAAGACAAAGACATTATATAAATAAAATATGTATTTTCCCAAATCCTGCATTTACGGCAGTTGAGAATAAATGGTTATGGGTGTTCGGTACATCATATCAGATCTCTCCAGAGGAGGACATTACAATAGCTATAGCCTATAGCCTATGAACACCTCAACTTTTCTATAAATGTGTTGAATTTTCTGCAATGCAATGTCATTGCAGTCGACGGGCTGAATGCCAGAGAAGAAATCAGAAAGTGAAAATAAATACACGGATGAGTACTTAAGCATGTTTTTTAAGCAGGTTGCCAGCTGCCAAGGAAGCTGTCTCTTGTGATATATAACTATACAGGGCATTGTTATACGTTATATGTTGCAAAAATTTGAAATGCTACCTGGCTTCATTTAATACAGCCAATACCCGCTTCTGGAGAGCTAGTACTTCCCCTGCAGCCTTTTTCCCAGCCTCCACACCTGAGATAACAAGCAGACCCCAAAAGAAGGAAGAGAGGCACAAGTAAAAAAAACTAGTTCAAAACACAAGATAAATTTCGTAGTGAGTGCCAAACTCACGTATAAATCTTAATGACAGCAATCATATTTTCCACCAATAGAAAGCATTATTTACCAGGTTGATGGTAAGCATTAATGTTAATAAGAGAGGCATATATGCCAACTGCCCGTTCATAAAGGGCTATAAGAGCCCCAGTGGATCTTGGGGTCACCTCCTGCACAGTGACTGTGACACTCTCTCGATCATTGGCATACAGTGCGGATCTTGTTCCCTGTGTAAACTCAAACCAATTGGAAATATCAATTGAAAGGAATTAATATTAATCATTGAAGCAAAAAATAATTGAATATCATCACCAGATCCAGAACCTTCAAACAATACTTAAAACCTAATTTATTCATGAACTAACCTGTAACATTCCGAACAAGTAATCCCCACAAGTAACACCTGGTTCAAGCTCCCAGTCATGACCAGGAGGTCTATCCCGCAGCACTTCAATGAATGTCGCAAAGAAATTGTGCACACCCTCTCTCAGTTGTTGAATGTAACTATATAAGTCATAAGAGAAAAAAAGGCTTATCAAGTTGAAACCATAGTAAATTAACACGCCTTTAATAGAGAATACAGAAATAGAGTCAGTTCTTCTTCTGCCAACTTAGTCTTTGTTATAATTCATCATCTAACACAATAATTTCAGAAATATAGACTGACATAAAACATATGGGAAACTTACGCATGCTGATCAGTACTCCCTTTATTCCCATAAACTGTAAGTCCTTGATTCACCTGTAAAATTAAGAAGTCGTATCTTCAGGTGAAACTGCAAGTTAATCTTCCCAACAACAAAGCAATTCAGAGAAGAGTATTTGTTCTGATGGTTGAACATTTCTACCATTTCTGGATCCATTTATAACAATATTGATACAATAATGTACTACAAGTTGGTCCATAATATTTTGCTTTAACAATTTTTTTTATAGAAACTATTGACAAAAGTTTCACACATGCACCACAAGGATTACAACAAACAACAAAGTTAAACTAAAAGGTAATATCTTCTGAAAGTTCTTGAATTTATTTGACAATGTTATATTTCTATATTAAATCCATGCCATCAGTAAGGATGACAAAAGGCAATAGATTATATTTCAGCAATGTGACTGCATAACCTGTCGGTAAAACTAGCAACTGACTTAATAGGTCTACGCTTGGCTCATCAATATAATAATGTTATAAGTCAAAAACAATGAAAGAAAATTATAACAGGAAAGCTGATGGCTCAAGACATGTACAGTGGAAAGCATAACACAAGATATTACACAAATTATAAGAGGATATTAGAACCCAGTTGAATGCTACAGTTAATCATTGCAATGCAGAAACTATTAATTGGGAAAAACTTTAATCTTCAATTGAATCGATCCCGAGAAGAACTATAAGGTCGCATAATCTTTAGCTACAGTATGCAAACTGTTGCACGTACCCGGTTACCATCAAGGTCAAATTCTTTTCCAAGTGATTCCATGACTAGCTGCTGCAGATATCTGCTAAATAGTAATAAGCTATCCTTGTAAGGAAGGACAACCATATCCTGCAGAATGCCAACAAGATTAATGTAAATTACAGATAAATGATACTGAAATGACGTGATCAGATAGCTTGCTGATTTTATATCAGTTAAACGAATGTATACCTTGGATCCTACTCCATCAGAAGCCCAATACCAGCATAAAGCTAGCAATGCTGCAGGGTTATCCCTCAGCTGAAGACAGAAAAGCAATGTCAAAAAAAGAGCTGTTGATTGGACAAATGGACAATGGAATCATAGTTGCAGGAAAAAAAAACACAATAAGTGCAAAGCAAAGCAAACAGGTAGACAAGTTATTATCAGTAAATCATGTAATTTTATCTAAGAGAAGCCAGTAATTTACTCAGAGATGGAATTAGTTATAGTTTTTTTAAAATAAAAAATCTTTAAAACATAAAAAACAGTAGTTGATACCATGGCCTCCTTACAACAACCCACATAGTAAGTTGTTAGAAAATGCTGCTACAGAGTCCCTCCTTCACATCAATCGTCCGTCCAAAACCTCACCCTCTCACTTGATCCTATTCTCCATCTAATGCAACCTGAAATTCATCCCACCCTGAATTGATTTTCATCCATACCAAATTTTACTTTGATCATCCTTTGCCATTGGCAACCTTATTCAGAAATAAACCACCAAAGCTGATAGATGCCCAGAAAACACAAGAAGGATTGCAAACGAAAGCTTCTATTTTTGGGATAGAAAAACCACAATTTTCTTGTTAATTAATACTTGCCTTATCCATAATCTGAGGGGCTTTAAATAGGAGGGGAAACAACAACTTCTCCCTGCTATCCAGGGAACACAACGGCTAGTAGCAACTAAATAATCTCAACAAATACCAAATAATCTCAACAAATCAAAAGATAAGATAATGCAGGGAATAAATTAAAAAAACAGAGAATAAGTTGATGCTGAATAGTTAACCGGGTCTTGAGGAAGTTTTGTTTGCTTCAACGATACCGGAATCAGAGATACTTGGGATTCTTGACTGGGATCCTTGCTGATCTTTTGGTTGTATCATTGCCTCCCTCTTTTGCAGAGACCTTGTCCTCAAGGTTCAAGTGGCCAAATTTATCTGTTAGCTCGCTGTTATTTTCCCAGGTAGCTTCTTTTGGGGGGCAAATTCGTTCATTGGACAAGACTTTCTTCGACAAATTTTGCTCCCTTTTTGATCCATCGGGTTTCCAAAATGGTTTGGGGTTGCAACAGTAGGTCCCCATCTTCAGATATTTCAGGCAGATTTTCAGTAGGGGCAATTGCTTCACCAATAGGTTTTTTTAACATGGAGACGTGGAAAACGGGATGGATACGTGACCCTTGTGGAAGTAGAAGCTTGTAAGCAACGGGACCAATATGACGGAGGGTCTGATAAGGCCCATAGTATCGACATGCGAGCTTCTGGAAGGCTCTCTTGAAAACCGTTTGCTGCCGATATGGTCAGAGCCTGAGAAAGACCCAATCGCCCTCCTGAAATTCAACTTCACGTCGATGGGCATTGGCGGTGACTTGCATGCGATTGTTGGCTGCTTGTAAATTAGTTAGAAGTTGTTTGAGGAGAGCATCTCGGTTACAAAGCTATTGGTCAACTTCATTGACAAGGGTTGAGCCATCTTGGTAATGGGGAATGGGCGGCGGCGGTCTCCCATATAAGGCCTGAAAAGGCGTCATCTTGATAGAGGAGTGGTAGGTTGTGTTGTACCAAGATTCGGCCCAAGGAAGGAGAGAACTCCACTTGCGTGGTTGTTGGTGGCTTAAGCACAATAGATATTGTTCCACATTGCGGTTCACAACTTCTTACTGTCCATCTATTTGTGGATAGTAGAAGGAGTTCATTCGGAGTTGGGTGCCAGACAACTTAAAAAACTCTTGACAGAAGTGGCTAGTAAAGACCGGATCCCTGTCACTAATTATGGAGCGAGGCAAACCATGTAATTTTACCACATTGTCCACAAATTTTTCTGCCACGGTCTTAGCGGTGTAAGGGTGAGCCAAAGTGATGAAGTGCTAAGGGTGAGCCAAAGTGATGAAGTGCATACTCTTGCTAAGACGATCAACCACAACCAAGATAGTATTCTTTCCGTTTGAGATAGGTAGTCCTTCAATAAAATCCATGGAAATATCATCCCATATTTGGCAAGGGATTGGCAACGGTTGGAGAAGGCCGGCTGGTGAAAGTGTCTCGACTTTAACTCATTGGCAGGTGTCACATGCTGCTACATATTCTTTAATATCTCGATACATGGCTGACCAATAAAATTGTTGGGCCAATCTTTTGTAAGTTTGTTGGAAACCTGAGTGGTCACCTGTCAAAGATGAGTGGAATTCCTGCAATAATTATTGTGATTTTTTATTTAGGAGGAACAATAATTCGATGCTTAAAATAAATCAACCCGTTCTTGAGTGAAAAGGAACCACATGCTGGGTCAGTGGCTAACTTGCGGGCTGTCTGCATATAGGGATGATCTGCAACTTCCCAGATGGTGTTCCACAAATTATTTTTAGGCATAGAGATAGCGTGTAGAGTGGGGCTATCTTCTCTACGAGATAGACCATCTACGGCAGAGTTTTCTTTTCCTGATTTGTACACGATCTCATATTCGTAGCCAAATAACTTAGAGAGCCACTTTTACTGTTCCAGGGTTGTAATTCGTTGGTCCAGCAAATGCTTCAAACTTTTCTGATCTGTGTGCACATAGAACTTTCTGCGCATCAAATACAGACTCCATAATTTTATGGCAATAACAATGGCAAACATCTCTTTGGCGTATGTCGACCATGACTGCTTGGCAACGCCTAATGCCTGTCTCATGTAAGCTATAGGCTGCCCATGCTGAGTGAGGATGGCCCCAATGCCACAACCATAAGCATCAGTTTCTATGATAAATGGCTCTTCAAAATTCGGGAGCGCCAAGGTAGGAGTTGTGGTCATTGCAACCTTGAGGTTTTGAAAAGTTGATTCTGCTTCCTCAGACCACCTAAATTGTCCCTTTTTTAGGAGATTAGTCAAAAGCCGAGCAAGAATTCTGTACTGCCGAACAAACTTCCGGTAATAGCTTGTCAAACTCAAAAATCCTCTCAGTTCAATGATGTTGTTTAGTCGAGGCCAATCTAATATGGCCTTAATTTTAGTTTGATCCACTTTGACCCCTTGCGATGTGACTATGTGCCTCAAGTATTCAAGTTTCTTTTACCCAAAGACACATTTTTTTAGCTTGATGAAAAATTGATATTGCCAGAGGATGTCAAAAATATGTTTAACTTGCTCAAGATGCAATTCTCAGTTGGGACTTTAAATTAAAATGTGATAAAAAAAAAACTAGAACAAACTTACGGCGATACTGGCGGACGGAGATACTGGCAGAAGATGTTGTTCATGACTACTTGAAAGGTGGAAGGGACATTGCAAAGCCTAAATGGCATGACGAGATATTCATAATGATCGTTATGAATGCGGAAGGCCGTCTTGTGAATATCCGATGGATGTACTCTTACTTGGTGGTAACTCGCGGTGAGATCGAGTTGAGTAAAGAAAGCAGCTCTATGGAGTTCATCCAGCATGTCATCAACTGTAGGGATGGGAAACCTGTCTTTAATGGTGATTGAATTGAGGGTGAGGGCCCAATAGTTTGTACAAAACCTCCAAGTTCCATCTTTTTTGCGCACCAATAGCACCAGTGAGGAGAACGGACTGGTGCATGGCCGAATCAACCTGAATTAAGCATTGTATTCACCTATTTTTCAATTTCACTTTTCTGTAAATAGGCATACCTGTATGGCCTGACATTGACGGGTTCAACCCTTTCCTTCAAACTAATGCGGTGATCAACGTCTCGGCAGGGAGGAATTGATTGTGGATCTTTGAAAAGATCCTGGTACTGATCCAAGAGAGCTTGCATATTTGGATGGAGGTAGATCAGAGAGGTTTGTTTTCTGTCTGCAGATCCACTGCAAACAGAGAGGAGTGTCGAAGCGTGCTTTTGGCAACTTCTTCAGCTGAAGCAATCTGAAGAAGTGAAGCGTCAAGGCCTCATAATTGTCGCAGTCGACCACCCCACTAAAATTCCATGGTCATCCAACCCCAATCACACATAACAGCTCCTAATGCTTCCAGCCACTGAACTCCAAGAACAAGATCGAGACCAGTTAATGGTAAAGCAAAAAAAGTCAAATTGAAGAGGATACCTTGGATGTTAACCGGCACATATTCAAATCGTCCATGACATCTCATCGGACTACCATTCGCAACTTTGACCGAAAAGGCTTGAGTCAGGAGTATTGGTAACTTCAGCAAGCTTGCGACTCGCTCACTGATGAAATTGTGAGTCGAGCCACTGTCGATGAGGATGACGATGCATTGACTGTGGATTGTTGCATCAACATGCATCGTTTTTGTGGTGGACCAACCAATGAAAGCATGAAGGAAAATTTTGGGCTCCTCTTCTTTCGGTTCTTCTTCTTCTTCGATCCCTTCCAAGAGCAGGGCTTGAGCTCGGCGACAGTGGTGGCCTGCGGTAAATTTCTCGTCGCAGTTGAAGTACCCTGCATTCGACAGCATTGCATCTCTTCCCACAAGAGGCGCTTCAGGGCGGAATCTGCAGCTAGGGTTGGGGGCGGGTTGATCGGGGTTACATCCGATCCAATTGAACCTTCTCTGTCGACCCACTTGCTCCTCCTTCATACGGGCCAAACTGATGACCTCTTTCAAAGATTTGGGCCTGAACATCTGAGTACCTTCAGCAATTTCAGACTTCAGTTCGCCAATAAATGTACCCACCAGGGCTTTTTGAGTCCAGCTTCTCACTTTGTTGCCCAATCTCTCAAATTCTTTTTGATAATCTCGTAAGGGCCCGATCTGCCTCACTCTGGATAGGGCTTCGTTGAAGTATTCACATTCGGGTGGCCCAAAGCGAGCCCAGACCTCTTCTTCAAATCCTGTCCATGTCACCACTCTTCCTTCTTCTTGATAAGTCCGGCGAAGCCATTACCACCACCGGTTGGCTTCGCCCTCAAGGTGGAAAGAAGCTAGTTGGACTTTCTACTCTTCGGGAATTCATTGATACTCAAAGAATTGTGCGACACGGTTAAACCATTCGGTTGGGTCATCTCCGGAAAAGATAGGAAATTCCAACTTGACAAGTTTGTAGAAGAATGGCTGTCAGCCACCGCCATTTCGCTCAGCTCCTTCGTCGCGGTTTGGTCGCGTTCCCCCATTTCGATTTGGGGTATTATGGCTGGAGCCTTCATGGTTGGTTAACAGAGTCTCTGTTAATTGTTTGAGGGTATCCTCCATTTGGTGAAGTTTATCGGCGACTCCAAGCTCCATCTGGCTAAAGCTGTCCTGTAGTCCTCGGACACTTTCTTCCAAATGCTTAATTCTTTCCTTGTGAGACATAGCTCTGATACCAAAATGATAGATGCCCAGAAAACACAAGAAAGATTGCAAACGAAAGCTTCTATTTTTAGGATAGAAAAACCACAATTTTCTTATTAATTAATACTTGTCTCGTCCATAATCTAATGGGGCTTTAAGTCAAACAACAACTTCTCCCCGCTATCCAAGGAGCACAACGGCTAGTAGCAACCAAATAATCTTAACAAATCAAAAGATAAGATAATGCTGGAAATAAATTAAAAAAACAAAGGATAAGTTGATGCTGAATAGTTGATCGGGTCTTGAGGAAGTTCTGCTTGCTTCAACGATACCAGAATCAGAGATACTTGGGATTCTTGACTGGGATCCTTGCTGATCTTCTGGTTGTATCAAAAGCCACTAACCAAGATGCACTTGGTTAAGGTCTATCATCACTCAGGTCCCAAGTCTGCCCCCTTGATTCGGAATGTAAACCATATTCCAAGCCACCAAGTGAAATCTTTTCTGCTCTACTCAAGTTCAGCAAGTTCTTTTATCAATACCAGATTACAAGGAAACCAACAATCATTTGAATAGATTTTACATTTTAAATAACATGGCTGGTGCTTTATAAAAAACTAAAAAGTAAATGAATAATGAAAAAGCAACACAGCTATATGCAGCAAAATAGAAAAGAGAGAAGGGATCAAGACATGGTTCTTGCTATGACTAGACATTCTCAATACAGACGCCCACACAAATATTTTCAACCATTGTAAGTGAATTAGGGAAGTTGAGACTAGTAAATCAAATTAAGATTCACCAACTAGAAAGGTTTTTTGCATGAAGGAACAAGAAAATCTATTAATATGATACCAAAGAGGCTGTCAACTATCTACGGGATAAGAAAGAGCAATTATATGATTCAAAAACCTCATATGTCTCACTAAAATAACAATATAAAACCAAAAGGGGATGCTTACCACAGTTGTCCTGTTTGCCTCATCCATTAATGCAGCACCAGCAAGCATTTCTCTGATGTCAATTGACTGCAGTAGAATTACTCATAAATAACCAGGAAAATAAAAGACGAAAGCATCATTTCTTACTTTAGGGCTCACCAACCTGCAATGCTGCTGGAAGTAGACCAACCGCAGACATTTCAGAGGTCCTACCCCCCACCCAATCGAACATAGGAAATCTAGCTAACCAGCCCTCAATTCGCGCAGTATTGTCCAGTAGAGATTTTTCTTGTGTTATAGCAACACCCTGGAGAAAATATATGACACAAGATGTAACAAGTTCATAATTAAAAGAAAAAAAACATTCTTGCAGTGTTGTAGAGAACTAGGATATGCTCATTCAACAATGCACCCATAATACAAATATCAAGATTCGATCAGGTGTCACAGCAGAAAAACCTAATTTATGTGGAATCGACCATTCTATCCAACAATTTTAGACAATCAAGACTCAAGACAGCGGGCAGGCAGAGCCAATTGGATATGGTATTATGATTTAGAATAAAGCTGGACTAATCAAACTGCAATTCTATGGCAGCAAAAGAAATCTAGCCTAGATTACGGTTGTCAATATCAACCAACAATTGAACTGCACAGATTTTTTTCTAATTGGAAGAGAGCCAATAGTTTTCCCTTTTTTCTAGAGAGAGAGAGAGAGAGAGAGAGAGAAAAAATCATAGTAAAGCTAGCCATTTCTATGAAGAAATTTTCCAAGTCTCACTAACATAGGCATTTATCTCGACGCACCATTGGTCATCCTCCAAAATGAGTATGAAATGATAGCAGCAATATTTTAGGTAAAAGAAACTCTAGTTTGTATGAGTAACATGAAGTAATTAATCAAAAAACACCAAGGGGTGCCAAACTAAGGACAAAATCATATTTTTATAAGAAAATAAATTTAAAATTTCACAATGTTCTCCTTTTACATATGATTTCTCATGAAACAAAATGCCCAAGTATGGGATTACCAATCATTTGGACACAAAGAAATTTCTAAAGGAAGTGAGAAGCTCAACAACTACAAAGGAAAAAAAGACCAAAAATCAACAAAGGCATGAATACTTTCATCTTGCCACATAGAAGAGAATCTACATCTGACCAGTGATTGAGGCTCACTATTTCAAACTCCACACCTCTACCTCAATTTTAGTACCATCATGAAGTTTTGTATTTACACTGAAACCCAAAGAAATTTAACAAAAAGCAGAAACAAGGACCTGAGATGAAAACCTGTTTTGCAAAATCCAAGCCAGCTTCACGAAAAGCCTTCTGAACTTCCAACAGACCATTTCTAGTTTCAGGGGTACCACCACTCTGAGCAGAATTGTGCATTAGCAACTTACATTAATATGTAATATTTACTAACACTATATCAAAAAATTGTTAAGAGACTGAGGGGAATGGGCGGAATAATGTCTTGTACCAGGCAATTGTATGCATTTAGCACCAAAAAAGAACAAGAAAAGGACATGTGCAGACCTTTGAAATTACAACGACAAGTGTAGAAGCCAGCTCGGGTCCAAGCTGTGCAATTTGATGATCAATTCCAGCAGGGTCTGTGTTATCAATGAATCTTATCTGCCAATGTTAAAAGAGAATAACTATAGGCCCATTCCATTCAGATTAAAACCCAAAGCATCGTAGGCAATTGGACTTAGCAGCAGTTTTCTTGATCTAAAAAATTTTTGGCCACAGCATTCCCTCGGATAAATGTTGGCAAAAATCTTTCAGTTCTAATAGGGAAACTTTTTATTGGGTAAAGAAGTTGTGATGAGAGAAAGGAACCACCGTCATTGTTGATACAGGAAAAAAATATAGAAACAACTAAAATCGCAACCCAACACCCACCTAACATGTTGTGCAGATTCAAATTCACTTGTATCCTCCATTCACTGCCATACATACAGACAGAGGCATAGAAGACTTAAGTGGAAATTCTGTATAAATATGCAATTGGACGTATACCCACACAATAGTGACAAGTACTTTGCAGTTTATGACTAGAAAATCCAAATAGAATAACATAGGAATAACAAGCAGCACTTTGAAAAGAAGATGTTACTCCATAAAACAGTTATCAGATACCTTTAGTGGAGGATTATCGGGAGCCAATGCTTCCGCTACAAATTGTGGCCCGAGAGCTGAACCTCCAATCCCAACTGAGAGTATTTGAGTAAAGCGACCTTCAGGAGAGGATGGGGGCTTTATCTACATTTGTCAATTCAAATTAAAATAAATGAATGAGAGATTAAGGTCTTACAAGAATAAACACAAAGGCAAGAAAAACAGTTATTGACAATCTTTAGAGGCCTACGGCGGCAGTCTTTATGCTCCCTTGGATGTATCCTTAATAGCAACAGCAGTTCTACGTCCTTCAAATTTCATGTTTCGTACAGTTTCACTGTTAAATACAGTGCTCTAACTTTAAACCGATGTTTCATTTTTATTTCTCAAATTTATTAACACCAATATCATGACTAGATTCCATTATTCATTATAAAGTCAAACGGAACCACAAAAGCGGAAAAGCTTGCTTGTTTCACTTTGATCAACCAATCCTTTAGTTCAGTACGATTCAATTTGAGAATGAGCAGTCTCGGATGAACGCAAAAATATTTCAGTGCGAATATAAACTCTCAATTAAAAATTTCTCATCCATCTGGGACTCATTGCGTAATTAACCGAAGTAGATCCGCATACCGACCTTACCACTGACGACTTCATCGGCGAACTTCCAAACCGCGTCAAGCGTGTTCTCAATCTGCGTCTGCAAGAACGAAGTTGGCGCGAGTTCGGAGTTCCTAAGCCAATAGTGACCAACCATCCTTCCCTCGTCAGGATTTGCGATGGCGCCCTTCTCCAGCTCCTCCATAGCCTTGAAGGCCGCCTGGAATCTCGGCTCCATCTCCTCGACGAACTCATCCGTGAACCCAACCCGGCTAACGTCCAGGTATAATCCCAACTCCTTATGCTGGTAGAGCCAGTCAACGTACCTCCTCCAGAGTGCCCGTGGGTCCTTCTCTAGCCCCTTCTTCGCCATCTTCGGTAATCCATCGTTCGTTTTTGACAAATCAGAGGATATCTCGCGAGCTACCGAGTGAGACTGAACCAAACTCGGTGCCCGGTCCGCGATTTTGGAGCGAGCAGGAAATGAGACAGAATCTGTACGAACTGCTGCCAAAGGATTCGAGATCGAGCTTCTGTTAGGCTTGAGAGACGGCGAAGAAGAACAGATACCTGAGAGAGACGCCATGGAAGAATTGTTTGAGAGCGATGAAAACGAGGGGCGGAGAGAGAAAGAGAGAGAGAGAGAGAGTCAGTCCATAGCTGGTGGTTTTTGGTTTTGATTTTTCTCTTGAGCTGAAAATATTTCCGATTTCTGAAAATGAATATTTTTGTTCTTTTATTCCCACGCTGCGAACATTAGCAACGCCCGTGTGGGTAACAGTTTAGCTGAGTCACACGTTGATTGGTTGGTTTGGTTTCGGAGTTGGCAAACGGGAGAAAGAGATACTTTTGAGATGTTAATTTACGCAAATGCCCTTCTATATTCGACCGGCGTGAAATTGGAAGAGTTGGGTCGGGTCGCTGTCGAACCCGTCATTGCACCATGTGACCGGCTCTTTTAACTTCTTTACTTAAAAAGGGAAGAACAACCATCGGGATTCAGGAGTGACGAAAGTTGTAATAAGTAGCAGCACATATTTTTATTTAAATTTTCTATTTGATATTTGATGTAAATAAAATTTGAAATAATGTCAAATATGAAAAATAATTTTATTTTTATTTTTATTTTTTCCTGTCTCAATTGTCTAAAATCATGTATAAATAAGCCTTTAAAGTCAAGTGACTAAAAAAACATGTATATTTATAATTTATATATTATAGAGCAAAAACAAAATCAGAAAATTTCGAATTTCATGATGGCGTCATGTTTGCAAGTCATCGTCAGTCTATATATGTGAATTTGGCTCCGGTCGTGATTGTATCAATTTGAAATCTAAAAAAAAATCCAGCTGCTCCCCACACCCTTTTTTCTTATTAGAAATTTGGTAATTATGCAGAAAAAAATATATATATTAATTTACGTGTGAAAGTCAAAGACACCGATTATTGACCACAACGGTTGGTGTTCATTATAATAGCCATTTTGTTATAGAATAAGTTATTTATTTTAGGGACAAAAATTTTCAATTGTTATCAGTTTTATTCATCTTTTAAAATCTTCAAATTTTATAAAATATTTATATTATACTGGATAAATTTGTAATTATTTTAAATGTAGGATTAAAATTGTAAATACTCATAATTAATGGTAGCCATAAATTATGCTCTTACTACAAATACTAATGTAAATCTTCATTAATTAATTAATTATATTCTCCTAAAATTTCAAAACTGGATCCTCTCATTTTCTCTTGTTTTTATGGTTTATTTAACTTACTTGTTTTTCATATATTTTTTTCAAAGTTTAGTAGGTTATTTTTAATTAAATATATGTATAGATTCAGAGCACTCAAATTTTTTTTAATTAATTGATAAAAGGTAAACTTTCAATAAATTATAATTTTTTAATTTTGTAAATTTTTATGAATATTTTGTCAATATTAAACCGACTAAAATTTGATGAGTGAATATTATCTACATCTAATTAATACTTTTTATCTTCAACTTACTTTTATGTACCGCTCACATAGATTGTTGACATCATTCGGTGTGTATGACTTTAATTTTTAAAAACAAATTATATTTTATGGATGGATCTCTTCATATATTTAATAAAAGCGATAATTTAAATAATTTAAAATTAGTTTAAAAAGTTAAACATTAATTAAAGTAAAATATAATGTATTTAATAATAAATATAAAATAATAATACTAATATAATTATTTATGACCTAACATTTATGTTTCAAATAGTTAAACTATGATTATTATCTTAAATATTTTTTATTTGAATATTATAAATTTAAGCTACATTAAAGATTAATTTTATTTTCCTTAAAATAATTGAAACTATCCAATACAACATATGATATATGTCACTTAACAATTTTTATATACTCAGTTAACAAATCTTAGTGTCAAAAACTTAAATTAGTCCAACAAATTCAGATAAACTATATACAAACATCAAATATTTTGAATCATAATTTTTAAATTAGTGATTTTCCTATGTTAATTAAAAAAATTTAAATTAATAATACTTAAATTTATTAAATTATTAGCTCTAAACATATTGATTATACACCAAGCATTAATATATAACATATTACCATATCAAATCATAAAAATCTCACATGCTTTATATTAGTTCGACATACTCGCATAATTTTATATTTATTATTCGTACATTTACATAAACATTTTAACACAATAAATTCATACGGATAAATCTAGTAATTGTATAGTAAAATACGTAACATGTGAGTTTGAATTATGTTATATGCAAATAATTTCGAAATTTACATAATGCTTTGATTTATAAAGGAGCTACGACTATGCTTTGTCGACATTTCATACATACAGCAAACGACGTTCATTGCCACTAAAAACGGCAGTGCGCGGCACGCCGATACACACACGTACAGGACCACCGCCTGTCCCTCTCAGCACCAGATTTTATCAAAACGCTCTACGCAGCATCGCCAGTCACCACCATCATCAGCCCAACACTGACCTTCAGAACTGACGCCCTCGACGCCGTTTTCAATATCGTTTACGCTTCTGTTACTCGAGACGGAGAGGGCCAAAGCGAAAGACCATGATGTGGGACGAGTGGGACGACGCTCAGCCCGAAGAAACCCAATCGCCAGACCAGGACTCCTATCTCAATTTCGATTTTCTTTCTCTTCTCTCAAAACCCAAGGTATTCGTGTTTCCCTTCCAAGGAAAACTTAATAGTGGTGTTAGGGTTTTAAGTTAACGATGGTGAATCTGTGGTTCGAAAAATGTAGGATTACTATAAAATTTTGGAAGTGGATTATGATGCTACTGATGATGCAATTCGCTCCAATTATATACGTCTTGCACTGGTTTGTTAATTTTCTTTTCTTATTCACTTTGTTTTGGGTTTTAATTTATTTCCTATTTGAATCCAACATAAACGCCTGTTCGCTTAATTGGTTTTGGTTTTCCTATGTGCAGAAATGGCATCCGGATAAGCACAAAGACGGGGATAGCTCCACTTCTAGATTTCAAGAGATAAACGAGGCTTATCAAGGTCTGTCTGTCTCTCATTTTCTTTTTGAAACGTGAAAATCTTTGACCAGTTTAGTTTTAATATGAATTTCATGTTAGCTTATTTGTCATCTAAAAGGATGGTGATGTTTGATCTCAGGACAATTTGGGTCTCTGACTTGTGTATAATAAATACTCTTTAAGAGACATGGTCATAGTGCTAATATAATCTGAAATTCTGTTTGTGCTATGTATCGGTGAACGTACATTTCTGTAATTTTAGGGGCTTGCATTGGTAGTGTAGTATATTGTGTATAATGCAGCAATAAGGTCTTTTTGGCATTAAGGAATACATGTTTTGCTAGCAGAGCCAGCAGCATAGGTGCTAATTGGGGTATTTGATAGTTATTTGGAGAGGTTGTGGATTGTGATCTTAAATTTCTGACGATTAATCTGTTTGATTCTGGTAATGAAGTGTTTGTTTTACCACCTGACCTTTTTTGTCTAGCTTAAATGTTGGTCTTGTTGAAGTTGATCCAGTCTTGAACAGAATAAAAATTGATGATAGTTATTGTTTCAATGAGAAATAATTTCATCTGTTGGCTTGGTGAAATTGGGTTGCAGAGTCTATCAAAAGACAGGTCTGTTTAGCCTTTCATTCCAGTTCATTTTAGTTTCTAGGACTTGAATAAATTTTGTGGCCACCAATTCATTTTCTACCAGTAAAAGTTTCTGACATTCTTCTGCCTCAAACTTCAGTAACTTTCAGGGCCATATGGTTGGTTCGAACCTTTGTCAATGATTTTGCCCAAATATGTGCATATCTGACTTTCGGTGCTGGATTGAGTTGTTGCAAAGCAAGAACTTATCTGATGATATTTTTAGCTGAATATAACTTTCTGGTGGATGGTGGAGGGTGAGGTCATGGATTTGTTCAATCTCCACAAGTGTTTGAGGTGGAAATGCTTGATTTAATGTTGGGGTCATTTACCTTTCTGGATATTTAGCTGACCTTTCTGAATATTTAGCAGATGTAAGATGTACTGTAATTGATGAGATAACTGAGCCTATTTTAGTATTTGCAACTTATATCAGATAGCCCTAACCATGGCTGCCGGTTTAGGGTTATAGTTAGCTGGAACCATTTGGTGCTCATCTTAAATATCAACTTGGGAATATGTGGTGTTAACCGCTGACTTAGTAAATAGTGCGTGTGTTGCAGAATACATCTTGTATTGGTTCTGCTGAGGTTGGAAGATGAGCTGTTAGGACCTTTTTTTTTGGAAATAAAAATGAGCTGTTAGGACTTAAAACAAGATTTATCTAGCTTGTGTTGGTTTTCATCTTTTGAGGCCTCATATAGTTCAAGAATGTGGCATAGTGCATGATGGTGACTGTATTGGAAGGCTGGAAGGTATCTAAGTGGTAGAAACTTAAGTCCCAGTTCAGTCTATCCAATCAATGAATTTTGCAGTGTTACAGGATACATCTGATATAATCGTTTGTATTGAAATAGTACTTTGTTCTAGAGTTTTAATTGTAGGCGTATTGTTTTACCCCCCTTCCCCTCCCCCACCAAAAACCACACACATACATGGAGAGACAGAATTATCTTGAATTAAGTACTCCATAGAAGATGTTATCCATGTCAGTCCAAGATGTTACCTCTTGCTGCCATGTCTTGGATCAAAATCACTTTATGATGTGATGTGAATACTGTCTAATACATATTTCAGCTTGTGGTCGCATATCTTCTCTGGTGCTATCTGATTGGTATAATTCTTAAAGCTAAGGCCTAGAAGGATAAAGGAATCACTGAAGAGTGACGATGAGTGCTTCCATTAGTAGATTTTGTTACATCCTTTGTTTAACCATTTGTTCACTGTAAAATTATAGTAGGTTCAACCTTCCTAAAAGTGAATTTGTTGAACATATCTTTATATTTATATATAAACATTTTCTTATTGCTTTTGAGCAAGGTTTTGCCATTTTTATTTGTTCCCCCTTGTACATAAAGTAAAAATCTTTTCAAATCCACCAAGATATTTTTCTCAATTACATAGCCGTTGTCTCATCCGTCTTCTCTTCTTTGCTTTTGACACAAACGAGCTTTCTTTGATTGTATAATCATGCTCGTGGTTTTTGAGTTCTTCTATTAGGCCGGGGCTTCTCAAGTGCAAGTTCTACCTAGACTTCCTTTATTCACATCATCAATCTATCAGAGAGCATCATACATCTTCTTTTATCTAACAGTTGGTCGTTGAATTTTTATTTGAGCAGTTTTGAGTGATCCTGTCCAAAGGCGAGAATATGACAAGAAGGGGATGCTGCATTTTTATGACTATAATATCATTGTAAGATTCCTTTGCTTTAGTGTTAACATGTGTTTTATACTTCAGTGTTAAAATGTGTTTTTTTTTTTAATGCTTTTTTGCTCTTTACAAGATTGAGATTTCAAATTTTCGTTAATTGGTTGCAGGATTATCTTAACCGATACAAGGGCCTCATATTAACTTGCAATGGCTTGGGAATCAAGCATTCAATTTGGTAAAAGCAGAAGGAGGACAGTTTTTCCTTTATCTTGTACATCTGTCTTGGAGATATTAACCGTGAATATGTACAAAATAAAACAAGAAAATATCCACTCCTTTCTGCAGCTCACGCTTGTCCAATTTGTGCTAGGTAAAAATTGTATGCATCAGTTGTAGAGATCGGAGAGTAGTGGAAAATCTCAAAACTTTTAAGGTTCAACTAAATGCGGGGGTATGTTAAAATGTATTCAATCTCCTATATTAATTAAAATATACGAGTGTGTGTAGTAAAATTGTGAGTAGATGCCTGCTTGATAATGGTTTAGGCAAACAAAACTGTGCTTATAGCTTTCTATGATTTTATTGTTGTTTACTTCATGGTGTGTTGTCTGTCTGAATTACCCCCATAGTAGATTCATAGATTGGAGGATTTTTTCTGAACATGAATCAATTCAATAGTTGCTTTATTGTCATTTTACAAAATGCAACAAATGCAATTAAGAGCCGGGTATGATATAGTAAGAATCTAATTTATGAAAAATAAATTATTTTTAGATAGACTTCAAATATTTTTAATAAAACAAAGTCACCATTGAGCATACAAAATTAAATAAAAATTTGATTTCAACGAACACAAATTAACTCCAAAAGACTCACGGTTAAAAGACTAGACCAAAAAATAACATCCCACATATATTTGGAAGTATAAATTTATTAGGAAAGTAACTCATCTAACAATTCAACCACATACAACAATTTTCTTTCTCTACAAACCATTTCAATCAAAATAGCCCATGAATCAGGCTCTGGTTTAAATCTCATTTCCATCAATCCAAACAATATAGCAGCTGCATCCTCTATCTTCCCAGCTCTAACAAGGCGAACCAGCAAGTCATTTGAAGTTGCAAAATGCGGTAAAAACCCTCTATCAAGCATTAAACCCAGCAGTTCAGTGGCTTTTTCCAGCTCATTCTTTTGGCACAAGAAGTTCATTACAATCCTATAGCTTGCTTTGTTCAGATAAACACCCTCACAAGGTAGTTCCTCAAGCATTTTAAGAGCCTCTTCGAACCTATCCCCTCTGCATAATCCCCCGATGAACACATTAAAAGTTACAGTATCGGCTTTGCAGCCTCTCTCTTTCATTTCTTGAAGCAATTTTGTTGCTTCATCAATTCTCCCAGCTCTGCAGAGGCTATTAAGTAGTATAGTATAACCAACTGTGTCAGGCTTCATACCGAGACTATTCATTTCATCAAACACTTCCTTGGCCTCCTGCAACCTTCCCTCTTTACAAAATCCACTCATCAAGGCTGAGTAGTTGAATATATTTGGACTGGATCCATTCTTCTTCATAAACTCTATAATTTTCTTGGCTCGATCAACTTTCCCTTCACGGCAGAAGCCATTTATCAGAACATTGTAAGTTAAGGCATCAGGTAAGATTTGATCCTCCGAGACCATTTTCTCAAATAGATCAACTGCTTCTTTGAGTCTTCCACTTGAACAAAGGCCATCCATCAGAGTAGAGTAAGTGATCAAATTGGGGTAAGAAATCCTGGATTTCTTCATCTCCTTTACAACTTCAAAGGCAGATTCAAGATCTCCACTTCTACAATGATACTTAACCAAGATGTTGAAAATGCAGGCATTAGGCTTCAATCTGAGATGATCCTTGGAACGCAAGAGAAACTTACAAGCCAAATCAATTTGATTTGATTCAATCAGCAGGTTGAGACAAGTACTAACAGCATTGAGAGAAGGCTTTTGGCGAACAATTGGTTGAATTGCATCAAACATCTCGAGCACTCTTTCATGCAGAGAGGATTTTGCAAAATGCTTCATGAGATTAAGGAAGATACCCTCATGAAATTTGCAAGTTTCATAGGTCATTTGATGGATAATTGCATCAATAGCTTGAAACTTCTTACAACGAGCAAGCTTACTTAGGATCGTTGCATAGGTTGCATTGTTGTGATTAAAACCCTTGTGCTCTGCTACCTTGTTAAATATATCCAAAGCACGTTGCGGGTCTTTCTCACGTTTGATCAAGTTGACAGCTGACTCATGAGAAATATATTTCGGTTTTCTTTGAACTTCCACAAGAGCATTTACAGTTTCTGTTGAGGGATCTGGTTTGCTTAACATTGGTTTTGAAAGATGAATAGGAGAGATCCATGGAAGGGAAGCTGATGGAAAGGAAGAGGAAGAAAAAAAACGTATCCAGAAACTCCCTCTCATAAATTACCTAAAACTTTGCTGCTGGTTTTACTGGGTCTAGTGATTTTAAAGAGATTAAATCTGTCAAAAACAGAACTTAGAACATTATATTGATTATATAGTTAAAGGACATTAAACTAAAACTAGACAATTGAATCAACAGTAAGTCCATACCCAGTTCAAAATTGCTTATTCTATACAATAGTCATGGGAATCCAGTAGATATAAGATAAGCTAGAAATGAGATTGCGTAAATGCTTCAAAATGAAGTTTTAGTTCAATCAAGCAAAAAATAAATGTATAGATTCAGGGTATGTTTGGAAGAAAAACCTACTACTTGAGAATTGATTGGAAACTGGAAACACATTCTAAAATCTACATGGAAGAATACAAGAGCATGAAAGCCTGACCTGACTAACCCCAAACTCTAAAAGTAATCAAGCACCGAAATGTCAGCAACAAAACCTAGTAGAATAATGCAAGAACAGAAAGACACTAAAGGAGAAAACACCAATGCTTAAGGGCAAACAACGGCGAACGGAGAGCAAATTCTACGGGTATCATGATGTTCAGTCACCGTGTGAGCTGCCGAAAAAGTTTTGAAACTTGAAGGAAAAAAAAAAAGAAAAGGAAGAAAATGGCTTTAGAATATGATAAACTCACCACAATGGAGACGTTATCGATGCAGAGCCACAAGCCTGCATCTTTCCCTAATTGAATTTGCTTGCAGAAACAGGCGAGTAAATGAATAGCAAGCCCACGATTAAACTATAACTCTGGAGCCAAATTATTACTTTCAGAGAAAAGGTTTTGACAGGTGCAGTTAGACGACGACGTGGACGAGTATGTAAACAGTGAAGGAAATTGTAATGGCGTTTTAGTGGAATTGCAGGGATTTTGGTGCAGAATTGGGGGGCAAAGAGGAGAGTGACTGATTACTTTCGGAGAGACGAGGCAGTTACGACGTCGTTTATGTCATCGGTAGAAAACCGAGATAATTGTAAAACGCACCGTTTCGAAAACGTGAGAATAAGATCGTGAGAGCTTTTAGGCCGAAAAGAAGAGATTCTAACAGATAAGCATGAACGACCAAAAATGATTTTTAAAAATTTCAATTATTGGATTAATAGCATCTTATCCCAGGTAAATTACAAAAGTACCCCTACAGCACGAGCATTTTGGTCCTTCAAAGTCACAAAAGGATCTTCCCTTTTTCTTCAACCGAAAAACAAACGCACCGCAGACACGAAGAAAAAACGCTGAGCTCTGATTTTGACGATGGCGACTGGGGTCCCAGACAACCTGACCAGAGACCAATACGTGTACCTGGCTAAGCTATCGGAGCAAGCCGAGCGCTATGAGGAGATGGTCCAGTTCATGCAGAAGCTTGTGGTCGGCTCGACGCCGGCCGGTGAGCTCACCGTTGAGGAGCGGAACCTGCTCTCCGTTGCCTACAAAAACGTGATCGGCTCGCTTCGGGCGGCTTGGCGTATCGTCAGTTCGATCGAACAGAAGGAGGAAGGTAGGAAGAACGATGAACACGTGGTGCTCGTCAAGGAATACAGATCGAAGATCGAGAGCGAGCTCTCCGAGGTATGTGCTAGCATCTTGAGGTTGCTGGACTCGAATCTGGTACCTTCTGCTACAGCGAGTGAATCCAAGGTATTCTACTTGAAGATGAAGGGGGATTACCACAGGTACTTGGCCGAGTTTAAGGTTGGTGATGAAAGGAAAGCCGCCGCTGAGGATACTATGCTTTCTTACAAGGCTGCTCAGGTTCCTTTTTTTTCATTCTTTTCTGTTGCTTAGTGTGTTTTTCTTAACTGGATTTGCATAGTGCTGATTGGCTGTTTAGAAGGGTAGGAAAATTGGGAGGGCAAATTGAAGGTATTGAAACACAAGATCTTGGGTTATTGGCTTAGGAATTTTGATGTCTGGTTGCTTTACGGGAGAGGGCGGGGAAGGAAGTGAAATCGAGGAAATTTAAACACATTTTTGCCTTTTATGGGCAAAGGAACAGAGAATTTGGATATTTTCTTGTCTATCAAATGGAGAATTATTTGGGTTTCAAAGTTATTTTGACGAAGTTAGAGCTATGATTAGGCCAATGGTTTCAAAGAAATTAGGATTCTGGTAAATTTTGAGAAGTTTTAACTATTTGATTTGCTTATTTTTATGGTTGTTTTCATGTGTGGTAGGACATTGCTCTTGCCGATCTCGCATCAACACATCCGATAAGGTTGGGGCTAGCACTAAATTTCTCGGTATTCTACTATGAGATTCTCAATCAGTCTGATAAAGCATGTAGCATGGCCAAGCAGGTATGCTCTGTCCCTGATTTCTTACCCATCCTTTTGTGGGATTAGTTGTTTTCTCGTTTGTTGCTGGAGGCTGGAGCGAACCATCAGTTATATAGTTTCAGTCTTAGATATATTCAGTTGAGGCAATTCTTCTAAGATAGTTTAGGTTAAGCTCAGTTTTGAGACTATCCAGATCCAAGGTTGAAAGTTTCTTTGCTTCTCTTCAATTTTATGAAATTGACTTTGGTCTGAGTTAGCCTCTGTGGACTTTGATAAGAGAATTAAGATGTGGTTTGCAGTTCATTGTCTTCATTTTTGAGTCTTTGACTTTTTACTCGATTGCAGGACTTGGTCAGGAGGAAACTAAAATAAGTTTTCACGGCATTTCTGGAATTTTACCATGGACTCCATTCTCCCAAGTACTATAAAGTAGATGTACACCAGCGGTTGATAATTTGAGAATAAATGTTTGTGACTGTTGATCAGGGAGGAAAGATTTGTTAACATGAAAATATACTCCCCCAGTTTTTCTTTTCTCCCCAATTAATTATTGAGAAGGGACCTCATATCATTCGGGCATGGTAGAATTTCCCTTATGGTTGTTGCTTATTGATCCGTAGTTATACTTGCCAATTCTATAAGAATGAAGTTTAAAGATTATCTTGGCCTGTTGGACAAGGCTATAACTTGCAGTGACTTTAAGAATAAAGTTACGATGTATACTTGCTAATGCTTATAAGAATAAAATTGATGATATTCCACAGAAAATGTGCAAAATTAAATCTTATTAAAGTCATTTCTTGGTATGTTGCTAGAGCCATCCGATTTGCATCCTTTCCCAATTGCATCTATTATGTTTATCAAGGCTATAATAGAAGTTCAGATTTACTTTATTACTGTGTCATGTACCAGAGATGCCTTAACCCACTTTCACTGTACTTCGTGTTAGGCATTTGAAGAAGCTATTGCTGAGCTCGACACCTTGGGAGAAGAATCCTACAAGGACAGCACCCTTATCATGCAACTCTTGAGGGACAACCTCACTCTGTGGACATCTGATGTCCAGGTCAATGCAGAACTTTTCTCTCTCTGAAACATTTTCAGCTTTTGATGTCTGAGTAGAATCTGACATGGGTTTGATATGTGATTTTGTGCAGGACCAATTAGATGAGCCATAGAAGAACCTGTAAGCTTGATCCCGTCCCTATTCTTCTTTTGGAGGAGGTGGGCTTTGAATGTCATTTGTTTTGTGCCGATTAAAAGTGTGTTCATTTAAAAAAAATTTTAAAAAAAGAAAGAATATAGGCATATGGCCATGACGATGACCATGATGTTTTTATATTGAAGACTCAAAACATGTCGTGCAATTTGCTAAATGATTTGAATAGGTAGCATTTTGGAGCCAATATCATCTGGCTACATTTTTAATTGTTCATGTTAGTTTGTGTAATGGCCTTTATTAATTATTTAAAGAGCAATGTCTTTTAGACACAATCTAGACCGATAAGAGAACAAGCAGCTTAAGGAGGCACAAAATCACAGAATTGGCTTTTGAATGCACTGGGATTCCGGAAGTGAAAGTTCTTGTTTGTTCAGATTTAAGTTTTTTTCAATTCCGTCTCCTGATCTTATATAAAATATGAACTTGGTCGCTTACTGTCAGATTATATTTATACTTCTTTTAGCAATAAAAGTATTCTCATGAAATTTTTTACAGAATTTGGATCATTTTGAGAAAATATTCTCATACGGGCTTTAATTTATGTATTTGTAATTTTAATTCCAGAGTACTATCAACAAAAACTGAACCCGGTAATCAAAACAGAGGACCTACCTTCTTATCAATACAAGCTACACTTGTCGACTCTGTCTATAATTATATTATTATAATGGGAAGAAAGGAAAGATGAAGGGGAAAAATAAACAGAGACCCACAGCCAGAGGCCTAGCAGTTGTGAGTCCCAGTTCTCAGTGTCTTGCCCTTCGAAATATATATTATATATATGCACGTACCGTGGTTTTTAGGCTAAAAGTATATTTTTTTTCCAGATATGTTGACTTACTGGTATAAACTTTAAACTTGCTATTGTAGCTTTATCAAATTCACCATTAAACTAACTTATAGACCCTTTAAGATAATTTGAATTGAGGGAACAATAAAAACATATGAATTGGTAAAATCCAGGTAAGAAGGCATATAAGATGTGTTGACTTTTTTAGTTTATGTATCTATGTATATATAATTATGCAATTTTGTGGAATATCTAGAAAACTATATTTATACATTTTGTCTAATTAATTATATAATATGTAACTTATTGGCAGCTCGTTGCGTGGAGATGAGCTGGGTCTTGTCCCTTCTCCATAAATAATAATTGATTTGTAGGCCAAAAAACGTCACTCATTGAAAAATCAATTATAATGTCACATTGTGACTCCAACTATCTAGGCTATGTTGCACTAATTGATTAATATTATTCACATCTTTATTGTTTATAATCATATCTCCCAGTGAACAAAATATACACAAAATAATTTAGAACACGAGCGGAATAGTTTCATTGAAAAATACTCAAAATAATACGAGCAGAATATTATTATTATTATTATCATTTTTTTAATTAACTAACTTATATAATTTTAAAAAAAATGAAAAATGAAAAGTAAGAACTATTTCCTTGGAAGTTAGATTTTTTTATTAAAGGTGTTTGATTTCACTTTTTTTGGAGTTAAATCAGTTTATAAGCAGTGATTTCTTCGAATGCTGCTTATTTTGCTTTTCATACTTCTTGCTAAAATTTCCCTATTAAAATTTACAAAATTCTTAATCCCGTGTATTTTTTTTAATCATTTTATCAAAATTTTAAATTATAAATATTATTTTCCCAAAAACTCCGGATGTTTATAGAGAGCTTATAAATCATCTTACGAACAAAGATGAAGCAAATATAACAACAGACTGCAAATAAGAAAAGCATCTCCCATTAACTTCAATGCAGGTCTATATCTTACAACTTCACCCATCACAGAAAACTCAAAGCAGCTTCTTAATTAAATACTAGATTTCTGTTCCTAATTGACAAATCACAAACATCCCATACTCAGCTTTATTCATGGTAAGAGGAAGCCGTCTGCATGGATAATGAAACAACCAATGCTTGGCCAAAGATACATCGTTTATGCACTAAAGATCCTTGAGAACTCACCCCTTTGTGTTGTTTTTGACCCATTCAAGATACTGGAGACTACCTCCAAGAATTGGCAAGGCTATCACTTCTGGTACGCTGCAAAAAAAAAAAAAAAAAAAGGAAAGGCAAAGGGATTAAACACAAGCAGACCTCATTGCAAGACAATATTATTATTCCCTGATTTCTCCACCCGAAAGTGTGACCCAATATTAGCTTGTGAAAAATGCAGGTTGATTGAACTTTGTCAAGTTGATTGATTACAGTGCTTCGTGCGAGTGATGATAAAGCACTAGACTTACCTAATCGCGTAAATTACCATAACATTTCATAGCTGTAACTTTACTACTCTAGCTTATTGTTTAGAATTGATTCTAGAGCACAACGCTTACTCATATTCATGATTTGCCTTGACATGTTCTGTCAGAGCGTCCAAGAGGGATTGCCTGGTCTTGATTATGAGCAGTTCCTCAGAATCTGTTTGGACCTGCAGCCAAATAACTTTGTGAATCAAGTTGCGAAGAAAATAAAAGAAATTATTTAAATCAGCAAGCAAAGATCGCCTATTAACACCAAAAAAATGGACAAGCAAGGGATTTTATTTTTTACACTGTCAAAATTGTTAGCTTATCTAAGGGATTTAAAATCTGTACCTTTCCTTCCCACTCATATACTGACTCAATGCCTGCATTCAAAATAAGTATAGAGGCAGTCAAAATAGTTTCGAGCAGTTATAGATCATAGCTCTGGGATACTTATGCAAGGTAAAACAAAAACAAAGAAACAGTGATCACATTGGCAATAATGTACTAGCAACTATCACTTTTTGAAGCTGATCTCAAAGTTGAAACACTCTTCATGAAAACAAGCCAGCAACTAAACAAGATATTTTCCCTCAAAAAGCAATTAAAAACATAGAAAGACATTTTTTCAGAAACAACAAGACCACAGAACGCTTTCCCCACCCAACTCATGTTTCTTTCTTTCCTTGAGGACGGATTTATGTAATAACTGCTAGAAAAAAAAATTTCTACCAAGCCCTACAGTCTGAAAACCCTCTTTAACTTTCTAAGTATGATTCTAGCAATGAGTGCTGAAAGGCCAAAATATGTGAGATTTAATCTAAGGAAAGAAACCTCCTCAGGGTTAAAACAGATTAGAAGGGAACACAATACACAGCATGAAGTAGAAGAATGATGGACATGCCTGGCACTATGTTCACACATGCTGCAAGTTTCTCTCTTACTATGCTGTCAGCTAACTTCTTCCCTGCATGAATGTTGCCAGCAATAAAATTAATTATTTTTAAGTCTGCAATTTGAGGCTTCCAAAAAATAAGATTAACTTTTAACAGCATATTACATTTAAACAAAATTAATTATTTCAAGATTTATAATCACATCAGAAAATGATTAATAATGTTGAAAACAATTAACCAGAAATCAATGCGGGAAAAGGGGGCTAAAGTACTAAAAGAACTTTAGTAATAAGCAAATTCCATAATGCTAAATGCAATCCAAGATTCTACAGCTCAGGGATAATTCAGAAGGAAACCAAATTCACAATCCTGATTAAGCCATAAAGCTAGTCAATCGAGAGTCCAATCAAGATTAATCCTCTAATCAAACCCTCGCCAAAAAAATTCCACTTTATAGCTAAAAAAAAGAATAGGTACTCAACACAGTACCTGCTTCTCTATTAGGCACAGTAACGTAAACAACAATGCTCGGGACAGTGTTACTGCTCCCTTCCATTCTGATCGTACCAGTAGTCTTGACCGATGAAGCACCAAATTTTGATCTGAAAACCACAATTCTATTCACATGAACAAGAAAAAAGCTAGAAGCAGTGACTAATCGATCAAATGACGAATTTAACAGGAGAAGAGAGGGTCAGGTACCGTAAGAGAGGAGGGAAGGGGAGAGAGTGAGCAGAACCCGTTTTGGAGGAAGACGAAGAGAGAGAAGGATAGAGATTGGAGAGACCGAAGCTAAGCATGCAAAACGCTCCAACGAGGGGCAAACGTCGTCGTATCGTGGAGGAAGTGACGCAGGCCGATACTCTGCCAAGGAGAGTGGAAGAAGCCATTGTTTTGGTATTAAGCCCTCCTTTTATAGTACGCAAAGAATAGCAGCTTCGCCAAGCTTCTGATATGTGTTTGCTTGATACTCTCTCGTCCTCGAATCAAAGCAAATCCAAATCAACAACTGTAAGCTACTACTGGGCCCTTATGATTTTGCCACGTGTAAATTGAAAAGAGTATTTTGGGCCATCAATTGGGCTTTTAATGTTCACACTTGAGAACCCATATTAAGTCCAACGTATACGGAATCTGTGGGCTCGTATTCGGCCCATTGGGTCCAGTTTAATACTATATATTTAAATTTTATTTATTTTTGAAGAACTTGGGTTTCCAAGAGAAAGTCTCGCCTGCTGCCGTGTGACGCCATAAAAGATGGAATGTACATGTATT